TCTGTTGAATTACTGCTTGACGAAATAGTATAAATACTTTGATAAACAGCCTGAATAAACCTCGTTAATTGTTGAAAAATTACTGCTCAATTAAAAAGAATAAACCGCTCGAACACCCCGTCTAACAGTTATAGTTTGCAAGAATTACACGTTAACAGTATTTATTACTATCAATATTATATTTATTATTATTATTTTTTTTTATTTATTATCTTTATTTTCTTTATTTTCTTTATTTTCTTTTACTTTATTAATTACATCATCATTTTATCATCTTCATTTTTATTTTTATTATTAATTATTAATTATTATATTATATCATCAAATAAGTTAAAATATATTTTTAAAAAAATTTAAATAATTCTTTAAAAGGATTGATTTTACTTTACTAATTAAGATTACAATTAATAAATCTTTAAGATATATCATATTTAACCTTAATTCTTTTGATAATATACAATCTTTTAGACAGAAAAATACTTATCTAAAGATTTTCTATATAATAAATTTTATCAGAAATGTATAATCCACATGTTTCAAGTTGTGTTTAATGTTAGTTAAATTAAAAGTTAAAATCAATTAAATCTTTTAATTATTTAACTCATCTATATCATTTATACTTTATTTATACCTAAATTACAACTTGAATATTATCGAAGGAAAAAAATTTATATGGATTAATACAGATATAAAAAATGTATAATTCTATAAAATTTATAATCAAAGTGCTAAATTTGAATACTGTATATGAATTTAAATTGATTAACAATAAAAAAATTAAAAAAGATTGCCACGCAATAAATTCAATCCCATGAGATATGAAAAAAAGCTTCACAAATCTCTTTCCAAATATAGAGGAACAGCCACAATTCTCTACAACAGCAGATAAACAAATAGAAATAGAGAAAATATTATTGATCTTAGATAACATTTATGATTCGATTGGTGAAGTTTCTTATTTTAGGAAAGAATAACTAATGTGCCACTTTATGAGTCGTTTCTATAAGATCTGTTCGAATAGGGACAATTATATTTTACATCAGTTTGTTCAATAACAAATACAAGGTTTCATAGGTATCTATATTTTTAAAATTCATTATCATCATCAGCAGTTATTATACATGTCTCTAGGGACGTCTTGATAGCAATTCACTTACATATGGTGAAATCAATTGCTTCATTAGCTGGATTAGATATGCAGTCCGGACATTAATTTATTGGTGTATCGCTCAGATGGAGTTAAAAGCTCAAATGCAGGAATAGCGAAGGAATTAGCAATGATAATCATGCGTAAAGATCAAATTCCCGATTTGCTTTAAGATCTATAAATAAACGTGTTGCAATGAAATTAATTAGTAAAGAAGTTGGAGGCAAAGGATTGGTTAAATTCGCATCATCAATTCCTCTTTGGGGTGAATTAGTTACATTTATCATTGATTCTTTGGCAACATGTAGTATTTGGACAAGTTTCTAAATATGTTTTTGTTCAACGGATGACCCAAGCGAAACAAAATGATGATTCATTTTCCGCATCACCTCTTTATCCTGGTAGAATTGAACTTTAAATATTTTTATTGGTTAAAAAAAGTTTTAAATTATAAATTGGAATTAATGGGTCTAGAAATCAAACCACCATCAACTGTAATAGTAGCACCATTAGTAAAAGCGCCGGCCTTACTAGATAAATAAATCGCGGTACCGGCAATATCTTCAGCTGCTCCAATTCTATCTAAAGGCACTTCTGATTTAATTGTTTCGCCATGATCTTTCAAAGCTTTAGCCGTTATTTTTGATTGATAAGGTCCAGGTGCAATATTATTAAATGTAATTTGACGATTTGATAATTGTCCCGCCATTACTTTTGTTAAATGAAGTAAAGCTGCTTTGGAAGTTGAATATGCATATGTTTCGTTGAATGGTGTTTCCAAACCGGCAATTGATCCAATATTAATTACTCTTGCCGGATCTTTTGGTGATGCAGCTTTCTCAAGTAATGGTAAACATCTAAATAGAAAAAAGATATACATATACATATTTTTTTTAAAAAATATCAAAAAATATATATATATACATATATAAATATGTAAACAACTTACGCTTGTGTAAAACTAAAAATTCTTTTAACGTTCAAATTCATAATTTTCTGTTATTTAATAATATAATAGTAAATATTAGCTATTAATTAGCTTGATTTGAGATATTTAAAACTAACATAACCTCAAATGCCTCGTCTGGATAAGAAGCAATAGGAGCACCCCAACTCGCACCAGCATTATTAATTAATATGTGTAGCTCTATTTAAATTAATATTTATTTTATATAAATTAAATATCTATTTGTATCGTATCGAACTTACTTCCATCACGTTCTTTAATTTCATTAGCTAATCGTTTGACTTCATTTAAATGTTGTAAATTTGCCGGTATACTAACAGCTTTACCTGGCCCTGATACAAATTCCAAAGAATTAACATGTAACTTCCAATAATTTATTCAATTTTATTAAAACTTTACCTTTATCAGATAATTCTTTAGCAACCTTATCACAAGTATCCTTGCTTCTTGAAGAAATATAAACTTTTGCCCCATTATCTATAAATCCTGTTGCTATCATAAGTCCGATCCTATTTAAAAGAAATTAGTAATTTAAATGAAAAACAATCAATTTATATTTAAATAAATACCCTCTGGCAGTGTTGTCATGGGACATTGATGGGACACTGATGGGGACATAGATGGGACAGATAGGACATTTGGGACTTAGTTGGGACATATAGCTGGGACATATAGCTGGGACAACAAATCTCTGGGACATCAAAAATGTACATCACTGCCCTCTGGATCCTCCAGTAACCAATACAATTTTATCTTTAACATTAAATAATGTAGCGAATTGCTATTTGTACACGGGGTGTTTGTATACTAAGGGTAACAAATAATTAGTCCGAAGGACTCTATAATACTAGGGTTGTTAAGATCAGCATAGTGGAATTTCTTTAAAGGTTATAGACGTGACGATCTTTTTTATATTATTCTATTATAAAAAAGCAAGGATTGGATAAAAATTAACTTTAAAATAATAATAATTCCACCAATTACATTTTATATTATACAATCTTTATACTGAGTGATACTATAGAAATTAACAGAAGATGCTAACTAAATAAAGGGATTAAAAGGTCAATAGGGTCATATAACTTTTTTTTTAAAAAAAAAAAATTGTTGCATATTTAATAAATTAACTCTTTTTTAATAATAGAACAAGTAATGGTAGATATATGAAAAAAGTCAAAATAAGTAACAAATTCTGAAGTTTTAATTGTTTTGGCTTCTTATTTATAATATTTATAATACTTTGATATTTATATAATTACAATTTAAATTTAAATATTACAAATGTTTTTAAAGAAAAATTTGTGATAAATTAACAAAAGATAATAAAGGACAGATAAACCTTTATACAGTGTGATTATTTTAGTGATATAATTTTTTCATTTTGATTAGATAAGTAAATTATGTACTTTAGTAGAATGTGATAAATGATTTATATTTTGTTTAAACTAAATGAACAGCTTTTCATTTGTATTTGATTATATTTATAAAAATTACTAAAATAAGATATTTTGAAAAATTAACTATTTGATAAAGAAAATTAGAAATCATAGTATGTCATTATGTAAAAAAAAGAGTCAAATAAGATATACAAATTGTGCTTTTAATTTTTTCTTTTAATAATTTAAATATAAGTAATATTTATAAAATATAACATATAAAAATCAATTTTTTTAACTCTAAATAAAATAATTATTATTTTAATTAACATAACGTATTTTATTTTTTTAATATTCATTAATATATAGATTTACCTTTTAATTCTTTCCAATATTATTTGTATAGTTGTTAGACGAAATTTAAAGGTTTTGCAAATCATCTAAATAAAAATAGATAAATTTAACAAAATTATATTAAAAAATCTTGAAAAAGATAAAACTATATTAAAGCTTATAAAATGTGAAACTATATCAAAACTTTAGTAAAAATTTAGCAAAATTATAGTTTAAATATTTTGCTAAATCTAAAATAAATTTAGACAACAATTTTAATTATTTGTTAATCAAACTTAAAAATGTAAAACTAATTCATATTCTTAAATTATGAACTATTTTACTAATTTTAAAAATAAAATTGTGAACTTCTAATTGTGAAATTTTTGAATTTGAAATAAATTCTAATATATAATTTAATTAAATTTTTTATTTTTTTAAAAAAATACTAATTTTAATTTATCTTGTAAACTGATTCAAAACCTTTAACTATAGAATTTTTAAATGAAGTAAGTTCTAATGAAATAATTTTAATTAAATATTTTTTTTTAATTTAACAAAGAATATTAAAATTAATATTGATCCAAAATTTTTAACCTTAAAATCTTTAAATTAAAAATAAATCCTAATAGAAAAACTTAAAAATACCAGTTATAATTAATTTTTAATAAAGATACAATGCATTAAGAAAGTTTTTGGACAATTTCCTATTACTAAATTAGATCTGCATAAATTTTCTGTTTTAAGTTAGAATTTTGGTAATCAAAATAGTATTTATTGCTTATCAAATCAATCTTTTTTTTCTTTGTAACATGTTAAACTTGTTACTGCATTTTTTTTAGAATCAAATGAAATATAAATGTTTATCAAAACGTACATGCAAAAGCTATCCAGCAATTATGAAATAGAGGAATACAAAATGCAAAGGAAATTAAAAAATGAACAGGTCTCCCAAGGTCTACTATATACTATAACATGAAATGTTGAAAAACATTAGCTAAAAAATTTAAATGAATTAGAATGATTTATGAAGAAGGAATAGGAAAAAATTCTAGAAAGCATTCTAGCGAATTTGGTAGAATCAATAAAGGAGCATTGTAGGCTTGTAATTGAAAAAATGGAAAACGTATTCTGTATTAAATTTTCATAAATAAAAATAAATAAAATTTTGATTTTTTAGCTTTCTAACGATTTATTTTTTACATGATTTAATGCAATCATTTTGAAATTATTAACATTTTAAGTTGTCCAAAGACTTTCTTACTGTACTGTATATTAAAAAAAAAAGTAATTTATTAATTATCATTAAAATTATTAAAATTAGATAAGTAATATAAAAAAATAATAATGATATAATAAAATTAATTATATTAATAAAATATAAATATAAAATATTTAAATAAAAATAATAAAATAAGTATAAATATATTAATAAGTATAATTAAATCCTTAAAATTAAATAAAATAGATAAATTATATAGTAATATTTTAGATTATTTAACATAAAAATTTTAAGATTATTTATGTAATATTAAATATTTTAGTATTATGATCTAAATTTTATAATTAATTTTATAATAAATAACTTAAATTAAAAATATTATAATAATATAAATTAAATAAATATTATAAATTATTATATAAATATTAAATCTTTAATTTTGTAATATGATTTATAATACATTTTATATATAGTTAAGGTTGCTAGATAAAACCTAAAAGGTTTGCAAGGTAAAATTTATCAAAATTATATTAAACCTTATTAAAAATCTGCAAAACTTAGGAAAAGGTAAAACTATATCTATAAAATTATATCAAAGTTAAAAAATGCGAAACTTTATTAAAACTTAATAAAAAATTAGCAAAACTAATGTTTAGACATTTTGCCAAAATTAAAATGAGTTTTAATAAGCAATTTTATGTATAATTAAAAAAATATTAAAAAAAAAAATAATACATTTTTTTATTATAAGTTAAAATATTTAACTTTTTGTATAAAATTCAATAAATTAGAAAAATCTAATTATAAATAATAATTAAAAAAAATATAATAATCAAAAATAAAATTATTTTTTATTATAATGAAAACTTTAAAATTTTAATATAAATTTTTGAAATTGATTATATTATATCTTTTAGAATTTTGAATAAAGTTTAGATATATAAATATACTTATAGTTAATTATTAAATAATTGGATTTATTGTTATTATAACAAGTAAAATATCTTTATTAAAACAATATAAATATTTATAAATAACATAAAATTTTTTTATTTGATATACAAGTATTTCAAGAATTTCACTTTTTAAATTATTTATTGATACTTCTAATTGATTTAAATTTAAATATAGAAAGATTAAAAAAAGATTATGATAAATGGTTATTAATAGAAAAATTATATATGGATGAGATTTAAATAATTTATTTAACAAAATTGGAATATTTAATATTTGTGATACTTAGACTTATTCAAACACATTATCGATTATTAGTTTCAATCCGAATTTGATGTTTTATCGTAATAAACAATTTTTTTCTTCAATTAATATTTGTAAAACTTTTCATAAAGTTTTTTTTTTTGTTTATTCTTTTATCATTAGCTAAATACAAAATTTCATCAATTTAAAACACCGAAAAAAACTTTGATTCGCTTAATAATAATTAATAAATGAATCATATATAATCAACAAAAAAATTGTTTCAAAATTCCGGTCAAGAAGTATAACTTGAAACCCTGTCCAAATTAGCAATAATAAAGGCGTTTATCATATTGAGATCTAAATTCGGCTTGACGGTTTATAAAATCCGTAAACAACCTTGCTAGCTTTATTCATGTAATCATTACTAGATTAAAATTTTGCCACATTATTTATAATTTTATTCATTGTCGAACCTTTAATAGCACTTTGGCTTATTCAACGTTTTTCACGTTCAAGATTCCAAAAACAAATAGATATATATAATATATGTTGAATTGTTTATTCTGCAATGGTCGAACCGAATAATGCGACCATTAGAAATTAAATTTAAACAAAGACTGAAACGAATAATTTGTGTCGGAGTTTCATTTCGAAATAACAGTTGCGAATTAAATAAATCATGTGGGTTGATTATTAATTAAGTGGTCGTCAAAACCCTTGTTTCAAACAATATGACTCATAAACACCTGATTAAAATATTGTGACTTAAAAAACACCAACGCGATTTTAAAGAACACTTTCATTTCCTTGGCAAATGTTTATATGACAAACGTCTTTGTGGCTCAGGAAAAGGAATTTGGGCTCCGAAATGAAATCAATAGAATATTTAAAAGTTTAATAGAAAACTCAATTGAAGTCATGAAATCATTTATTTTATAATAAAATTACAATAGTAAAAAAAGAAAATTCTTTTTATGGTCGATTCACTTAACTTAATTGGAAAAGAGAAAATTATAAATTACAAAGAATTTATTTTTAGACTTATTTATTTTACAATGATTATACATAAATAGATTTCTTTTATAAAGACAGCGACTCACAATTTTTTTTTTTCACCTCCAACTTTTCTACCCAAATAAAATCAGAAATGAGTCCACCAAATTCTTTTGATAATAAACCTGTTGTTATTAAATCGAAAAGGGGGAGAAAAGCTCTTGCTGTAAGCGAAGGACATATCGACACGACCGGAAGAACACATATAATGACAGTCAGGAGGTCGAAACCTCCGGCACCAAAAAAGAAAACAACAACTCCAAAACCCATAAAGCAAACAAATAATTTTTGCAAAAGATGTGAACAAAACGATGA